CTTTCAGTTTTTGGCTAAATCGCATTTTTGCACGAGGGGGACGGTCACTAGAACTACAATGAGGGATGGTACAATGACATGTCCAGAATGCACCACATTTGGTTGGTTTGAATGTGGTCAATCTTCGTATGTTTCGTACTGTTGGGCGACTTCTATTCCACCGTCGGTGTTCTTTCTTCTTAGGATGGAGGTGCCATGAAAAGTCGTGCGGCGAATAAGGGTTTAAGGATTACCATTTTTATTCGAGTACTGATCCCTCCCGATCTCCTATGTTTCCCTTCTTCTGGCATCCCTCTTTTCGCATTCAAGTCACTCGAGGCGAATTTGCAGTAGGGATTCTCTTTGCAGATGATTCACTGCATTTTCATAAGATTTAGCTCTAAGACATCAGCTGCTGGTGAATAGCATATGCTGATAGTAATGGTATTTTGATGCAGAGGACGGAGTCGAAGGATAACCAAGCGAGATGATAGGAGATCCGAGTCGACAAGGTGGACAGTAGATGGGTGTACGACATATCCAACGCCTCCAACATCCCGTAGTAGAACTTTTTCACCACGAAAGATGATGTTCCATCACTCAGCTGCCTCACGTGTCTTCCTAGACTTAGTTCTCTGCAAGGCGATTACGTGGTAATTGATGCGCCCTGCAGCTTCGAGAAGGGCATGGAGAGAGGCGTTGGTGGAGATTGTCCTGGCGCTGTTCGTAGAGCATAAGCGTTGACGTGTTTTTTTGATTTGAAATCCTGGCGTCCTGCGATGATATCAAGAACATTGCAATTTAAACTGGTCTTAATGGAATCCAACTCTGGAGATGTAATCCAGTATGCAGGGCTTTTTTTTCTTTTGCATTTTGTGCAGGTGATAAATTCTTACCCCGGGCATAGCAGCCTTGCCAAGGCGTGCTAAGTTTTGACCACAGGCAATACTGACGTATGTGGATCAGGGAAACACCTAACATTAATCAGCTAGACGATGGCACTTCTGACATGACCTCCTCTTAGTTGGGCATCTGGGGAGCCGGAAACGTCGAACTCCTCAGCTTGGGAGACCCTGCTGAGAATAAGCATCCACTGTACTTCGCAGTTAGATAATCAGAATCTCTACTCATCTATACCTCAGTTGTATGCATCGACTATTCGTTACGAAAATCATGTCTAAGTGAACTGAAAATTGCACGTTTGCAGCGCGTCACCCAACCTTGTCAGCTTTCTTTTTTGTTGGAACAGCCCTCAAAACGATGCTGGTCTTTTGAGCGAGTACAGAAAATGATTAAATGAGTAGTAATAGAATAGCAAAATCTTAGGGTGCTGTAGCCTCTCACAACTTGTTCCTTTTTTCCCAAAAACGAATTGCAGCTTGCTTTGGAGACCCGGCGCTAGGCCTTAATGAGCTCAAATATGAATTAAAAGTTTTCCTTCCCCTTTTTTGGAAATTACCGTACTAGTTACTATTTAGAACCTCACTAAATATTATGGAGACAATTGTGCAGTAAAGAAGATTACATTTGGCGTGCGAGGGGAAGACTGCTTTGGTTTAGTTGGTGCCAGCGGAGCCGGTAAAACTTCAGCCTTTGACATCATAACTGGGACACGATTCGCTAATTTTGGTAGTGTTTACATAGGAAACCAATTTGTGAATCGTACTCAGGTTAGCAATTTGTGATTTGGAGTATGTGTTCAAATTGAATATAGCTCAACGATGTTTTCAGGGTATTGGCTATTGCCCTCAGTTTGATGCCATGTTACCCAGACTTTCCTGCAGACAAAATATGACAATCATCGCAGGGCTTATAGGTAACGCAGCAGTTTAGACTACATTTGAAACAAGTAATATGCAATGAAAACGTAACAACATTTATTTAGGTTATAAGAAACCACATTTGATCGTCAATGAAATGCTTCGTTTTCTCGATTTAAACACACATGCAAATAAAACTTTTGGTCGTTGCAGGTAATCTTTGATGGCTGTTCGAATTACAGTTATAGTAATGGTAAATGGCAGTAATTTCTATCCACTATGTACTTTTTCCAGTGGATGAGAATATACATTCATGGGATAAAATTT